TCAACAAATTCATTGAGACGCAAAGCATATTCTTCTTGAGTCTCAGGATTTATTTTCATTTGAGAGATCATAAGTATATCTAAGAATTTCTTTCTATCAGGAATACCATCATTTCTTACTGTCTCCCAAACTCGTTTTGCTAAAGATTTAGGTCTCTTCTTATAATTTCTGTAAGCTTGTTAGATAACTATTGTATAAAAATTTTCAAACTGATAGTTATATTGTTTTGCAATTAAGAATTCTCAAAACCGCTTCATAGATCTTTCTGAATTTCTCAAAAATTACTTTATTAAAATAGTTATAGATTAGAGGATCTAACCCAGAATAGGCTGATTACATTTTTTATTTCGCCTGCAGGTGGTACATTCACTAGGCGATCATCCAAAATATATCAATATAGCATAAAAAATAAATTATATTTCAGTTGAAAGTAATAGATTATAATTAAAATATTTTTCAGAATCAGCCAGTCAAAACTGATTAAATAATCATGACTTTTGTCCTATTTCTTAATCTTAGTGCAGGTTGATTAAGATGGTTTAAGTTATTTTGTTTTGCATATATAGATGAGATAAATATTTCACTTAGAGGAGTCAACGAGTGTGATTCATCTCTTACAGAATCCTGATACTTAAATTTATCAAAGGCTTGTTGCTTAACCCTTGCATGTCCAAGATTACTTAAAGGATTAAAACATTTTTGGTCTCAATGTCTTTGCATCATATTTTTAGCTTTAATCAATTCAATGAATCTATATCATCTATGATAATATAATTTAGTTGACTTTATTTCATTAACTCAAAATAGTTTTCAGCAACGAAAGCAGATTACCATATTATTTTTATGGATTTTAGGATGATAATAAAAATGATATGATTCATCAAATTTGCCTTTATCAAATCCTACAAACAAGCAGAAACTATGGTATATGCTATTTTTATTTCGTGATAATAAATATTAAAGAGTACTTTTAACTCGTAATTCTCACTGCACTGGAAACTCTTCCTTTTTCATTATCGATAATCTATCATAGATTTTTTTATTAGCAAGAAATTTTCTGACATCCATACCACTATGGTAATTCTGAGATATATTCTATAATATTCCATATCATATCCAGGACAATTACTGACAAGCTTAGGTAATTACCATTATTTTTTATCAATAATCATATTAATGTTAATAGCACTTGCCAAGATAACAACCATCATATTTAGCAAATTATATTGATTTTATTGATTTATAGTATTTATAGCGAATTTTTGAGTAATATATACTATATAATATCATCATTCAAATTTATACAGATTTGCTGATTAGCAGTTAATTGATTTTTAGCTAATTTGAGAGATTACATATTGCTAAATCCAAATTCATTTTTCTGAAAGCAGATTATGTAGTTATTTATTTTGCAAAAAAATAAATAATATTATGGATAATTTATGAATATAGTTGAGATAAATAACGCTATTATTCAGTTAAAAGATATTAAGTTTATTTTCTTACATTTTTTTCATAAAAAAACTCAGTATTCATTAACATCAATGAAACTAGGTGTACTTGCATTACGTTGTATTAATGCAATAGGCTTTCGTGATAATAGAGAAGGAATTGGTCTATTTAATATTTCAGATTTTGATTGTTACCATTGGTAACGGAAATTAGTGAAACCATTTTTGCCCAGCATTAGTAATACAAGCTGGCTCAAAATTTAAAGCACTTGGCATAGTATTTTTTGCTACAGTTGCTTTATATTGTGCATAATTTTCATAGCTAGCCATAAAATTCGAATCATATAATACCGATGCTAACTTATTCTTTTTTGAGTGTGAAGTAGATTAAGAGAAAAGCTCTAGATGAAGATGATTAATTTTAGCTTCTTCTTGTAATATGCATTGTTTATATTGCCAGATCTGAAATTCCCTAGTATCAATAGATTGGAGAATTTCATTTCTTCTTGCATGTTCATTTGAAATAGTATTTTCAGAAATACATCTTTTTAAGTGGCTATCATGACTGCAATGATTGCTATAAAAGTTTCAGGTATGAAAACTAAGGAGTTACATATACTACAATATATATAATTTGTTCAATTAGTATGGATTTTATCATTTTCATAAAGCTTTCCATACATTATAATATATTCATTTTTAGAAAGGATTCTTAAATTCTCTTCAAGTATTTTTCTAAATAGACTACGGATATGGAAACATCACATTTCTGGTGTTTCGTGATCATGTCTTTTTGTTAAAAGTAATATTATATCAAGTATTCTTATATATTCTTCAAAGTCATCATAAGTATTGTTTGCATCAATTAGCTTAGAATAGATTCTACTATTTAAATCCATAATAGTGTTTTAGTAGATTATAACAGATTATAATAATTTTATAGTATTTTTAGTGACTTTAGCAATTTCACTGTTTTTTATCGATTTATAATGATTTATAATAGTTTATAACAACTATATTATAATAAAATATCAGATTCATTTTATTCGATTATAAGCATATCAGGATTTATATAGGGTTATATTTTTGGCTAAGCTAATTTTATATTTACATGCATATGCACAGCGCCTGGCTAAATCAGTTTGTGGCATGACGTAATCATATCACATGTATCACTCTAGATCCCTGCCAGTTTTTCGATAGTTCTAGGAGGGTTCTAGAAGCTGACGAATTTCTATACACAGCGTCTTGTTTGAAAAATGCCTCTAACCTGGCTAAATCATAAAATGATTAACTGATTAGATTACACTGTTCTTGATCTATTGATATAATAGTTAAGTCACCATTATTATTCAATTAAATCATTACATTGATCAAATTAATTAGTCTTGTAATATTCTAACACATTACTCAATATTTCTTCATAAAACAGACTTCAATTCCTTGAGAAATTTCTTATCATGTAAAAAAAATGTTTTCTATCAAGTAGTTTGACACTTAACTTCGCATTCTCGTTGATGAATAAAAACAAAGAAATGCTAAGTATCATGCCATTCTAAACAAAAAGAAATGATTTTTTTGAGAGGATATCGCTAATAAAATTAATAAGCAGAAAAGAACAAACTATTTCATAGGTAATGATTGCCACAAGAAGTTTTTGCATCTTACGAAAGCTTTTTATGTAAGTAGCATTTGCTTGTATTCTATGAGGAATCTGAATAGCAAAATATACTTATTATTACTTCATTAGATGGTGAAAAAATACAAAAAGGCATTAAAAGCAAAAGAAGTTTAGTTGGCAAAGAAATTTACAAAGAGTTCTTTAGTAAGTTTTGGTTAAATCAAGATATATATTTCAGAAGAAAATAAATGCTTCAACTATATTATTAACAATGCGAATCTATTTTTAAAATAAGCTCACAATAAAGGAAATAGGAGGTTAAGCGAGATGAGTTTGTCATCATCAGATGCAGGAGTATCTACAATTTTTAGACCTAAAGTAACAGCAAAACAATCAATGGAGAGACTTGAGTGACTACTAAACGAATCACTAAATAAACCATCCAAAAAAACATCTAAAACCATTATGAGTTCTCAAGATTCTCTTGTAACATCAAGACCGGTGATATTATCTGTTAAAACACCTATTAATTCCAGACCCGTAACCTTTAGTATCCCTTCTTTTCACAAAATGCAAATGTGATCAATGTTATCATCAATTATGGTAAAAGGTCAGATGAGCAACTGGAATAATATTTTTCATTAAATGTATTATGGGTGTAAAAATAAACGTTAATAATCATTATTCTAGCTATAATATTATTTTTCATAACTGTAAGTGTATACATTATAGGCATAGTAGAATAGTATAAAATAAAATGTAATTGTATAATAGAAAATAAATTCAAAGTCTACCACCTCTTTGATCTATCGATTTGCAAGAAGAGCTAGATGAAAATTTTTACGTGATATTTCTGACTTTTAAGTTTGCAAGAAGGCAGGCAGATTCATTGATTAAAAAATACTAGACAGAACCAGAACCATTAAAAAATGAAAAGTATTTTTATTGTAAATTGGTTGGCCAAGCTGAAAAAGTTAAATGCTTGAATGTTCAAACATAATGAGAGTTTGACATATAAGATTTGTTATCTCTCCATTTGCTACAAATTTATCTATTATGTTTCTACTTATCAATTATAAGAAAAAAAAATCACACAAACTAAAAAATGACTACTGAAGGAAAGAACTAATGACATATTGTTATACATACAACATAAAGATATAAAAACATAAAAAGACATAATAAAACACTTGAGATGTTTCGCATATTCATGACATTTCAGGCTTTGGTAATTTTGATTTTATGAAGTTGATATTATCTTCATTAAAAGTCGAGAGCTGGTCTACAAAAAATAAACAAACAAATTGAATTCTAGATGGATCATCACTAAAAATTTTAACCATTTTTCTAGTCTTTTTAATTTTATCCTTTGTTACGGCTAGAGAAGTACCAACTGGTAAATATTCCTGAACCTCTGTATTTAACTTATGTTATGCCCTCTTCTACCCTTTCCCTATTAATTCATTAAGATGAATGATTAGTACTAAGCTAAATTCGTAATAGCAATAGATGGTATTAGAATCAGCCTTGTCAACTCTTTGAGATAATTTTCATAAAATCACTGAAGGCTGATCCTGAGGGATTACTTCTGATAAATTGCTATCAATTTCCATCACTTCAGTTGACACCTCATGTATAAAAGCTGATAATCTCTCTTCACTACTCATATTTTTCTAACCAAGTTGTTCAAGCTGTTCAATAATATTGCTTCAGCACTTCGGGCACCATTCAGAGCAAACTGAATTTGCACGACAACATCTAATGTGAAAGGTATGGCCACATCGGAACATCACATGTGAGTCTATAATTTCTTGTTTGCAATCCAAACAAGGTTCAGCTTTTTGGAGGGGTTTTAGAGAAAAGATTAGGAGTCACTCTATGGCCCAAACTCATTAGAAATAATGCGATCAATTCCTAGGACGCCATTAAGATGAAAAAAAAATCCATGTTAGCCTATTTATAATTACGGTGCCATGGTAAGGGTTGAATTGGTAAGCCAGGCAAGAAAATAAGGTAGCATACTGTATCATATGATAACCGTGAAGACTCTTCTCACTTCTAGCCAATAGAAATATGGGATCTACCGGCTAAGATTTCAATGACGTATACAGCGCAACGGTATATGACGCGGGTTCGGAAAAAAGAAACAGCCTGTCGAAAGAATTTTACCGAATATCTTCTGTGCACTTCAGGTGATCGATCTCACATGATGAAGTTTTTGTCACATGGATTCCACGCTGAAGATCATTCCCATTTGAGACGATAAGTTCGTTCTAGCTCCGCAATATTCAAAAGTCCATTAATAGATTATATACATTTTGCTAAGAAATTTGCAAAGGAAAAAGTAGGTCAAATTTCCGGGACCGCGCGGTCTCGAAATATTGCCAAGAAAAATTTTGGAATGAATATAGCGATAACGTCAATGACAGAAATTTCAGCGCATTACTTTTATTTTTATTCGCAAGAATACAGGATTAAGTGTCCAAGCCTATTACTGAATTTAATGTATATTTAATGCAAATGAAAGGATAAGGATATAAATATGATTCTAGCCCAGAAAGTATAGAATTAATTATTTTGATGGTAGGCCAATAATCGCAATCTTGACAGATTTAGGTGAGGAGATGGACATTCTGCAATAAGTAGAACGTGACGGACTAGGTGGCGTGCTAGAAGCGATTACTTCCAATGTTTCGGAAATATGGTCCTTAAATCACAAAGTGTTTAATGGTTTGGAGATTTGCACTAAAGGTAGTAAAAAGAAACTACTATTTATTACTTACTTTGACATTATATAATGTTTCCAACACTGGTACCAAACTTAAAAATTGCCCCTGTTCCGTTGGAGTAAATACATTTGCTGTTAAGAACATTCTATAAATTCCGTCATAATTTATATCCATCTCATAGACGCGAATACGTGCGCCTATAAATGCAATCAATTATGTGTTAGTAAATGCATTAAAAAGTCAAACCAAATTTGAGCACTTACCGCAAACCCAAATACCGAAAGAAACTAATCCAATCCTGTTTCCATATCTCTTGACTAATTCGTCTAAGGCATTTGCTTGGAAGTTGGAAAGCTTAACAAAATCTTTATTGATCAATATAGATGATGAATCTTTCGGTTTAGCTTCACCAAAAAGAATCTCATCTCTTGTATTGGTCAAAATTTTGAAATCGGGTTTTTTACCTCGAAAATTTTCCTTATCGCTAGAACTGCTAGAACGGCGATTTTTTGAAACGGAGCTCTCGCTGTTTGCCCTATTAAATTAGACATCATTAATTACATAATTCGACAATCATACGGCAAACTTACAAATGCAAACTCTTACCATATCAACTCAAACATTGAATCGTGGAAAATTTCTTTAAATAGGTCGTGCAAAGTTTCATGGACAAAGGTGTCCTCATTATTGCTATTCACGCCTTTCGAACTCAGTAATAAACTATAGCAAGAAAATGTTTCATTCAGCGTTACATTAATTATAACTTATAATGGGTGCAACACTTACAAGTTTCGAAAAATGATTTGAGCCTGACAAAATTTGTCCTTGTCTTGATCATTCAATTCTGCAACTTTGGAAAAATTAGCACACCATACGTCCTGAATATCACTCAATAATGTAAAAGAATTCAACATCTAGAATTAAAGGAGAAAATGCTTAATTTCAATTTCTTGTAACCTAACTCCGAATCTGAGAGTGGGAAAAGTAACATACGGAAGAATATTCGAGAGCCATATTATTCACTACTGGTGGCAGACTCGGAGGTAATTGTCTTCGAAAAATTTTGTTCCAAATTGCTGAAGTGACGGTGAGATATGAAGGTTTTGTACGTTCGATGAACATTATATTCGAAAGGCAACTATTTTAACATGAGAATAATAAACATAATGTTGAACATGGTCATAAAATTACATGAATCAGATGGAATGCGATACTCACAGAATTTTTTGAATGTCTTGTTTATAACATAAATACGGGGTTTCTTTGACCTGTCGAATTGTTAGCTGTTGAAAGTTCCGGAACTCATTAGAGAGATTGTAGCTTTCAACAATCCACTGAAAAAGCGCGTAAGTATGTATAGTTAGTTAATATACGGTGAATGCAACGAAACAATGACCACATCGTGTACTCACATCCTCTTTAGAAGTGTCTCGGAAATCAACCTTATCAATTACATCTTCCCATGAATAAAAAATCTTATGCCGTTTCCTGGCATCATAATATTCAGACTCAATATCTACATCTATAATATATATTAGATTATTTCAGAAATTTAGCAAAAACTAAGATGCTTTATTACCTTCTTCACAATTAAATTTAGTAAAAAGATTAGATGTCGAATTATGATTCTGATGGGACTCCATGAGAGGTTTTTTCGAGTGTGTTTGGTCATCAGGAAGGTCCGCAACATTCTTATTCTTCTTTATCCGCTTGTGATCATTCTAAAGATTAAAATAATAAAGTCAGTAGTATTCTTTGATACACAATTGATCACCTGTGCCCCAGCACTGGTTTGTGGCTCGACTAATTGACTTAAATGGCAAGGAAACTAGTTGATCCCTTGACATTAATGTTTCCAACAAAAAATATAATTACTTGCCATCCTAATTCCTTCTTCATAAATTTCCTCGACAAATTTTCCTGAGGGAAGACTCCAATGTTGTGTATTAGTCGGCACACTGTCTAAATATGTATCAGGGTTTCCTCGTTTGACGGAACGAAATTCAGGATCTGGTAGCGCTGTACCATCAGGAGGGATACTTCCAGAATGATGATTCTTCTCCTATAATAAGCATAGTATTAATATAAAAATAAGTATCTCGCTATAATGATTATTATTGGTCATTA